TATTTATATTTCATTATCTTCAAACTACTTTAGCTTTTCTTAAAATATTCCTTGTGACACATTCTTATCATTTAAGATAAGAAATTTACAGTTATACTCCCTTTTAGGGAAATGCTGTCCCTTTCTACATGTCCTTGAAACACCAATCTTTGTCCACAAAAACATACATGATCCCTTACCAAACAGGGTGTTTTTCAAATATTATTCCTTGCTCCTGTTAGCAAGGTTGTCTTGTCTACTTATCTGTGCCTCTAAGCAAAGATGATTAGGAAAAAAGTACCTTAGTTTGGAGCATTTAAGATATGACAATCACTCATATTTTGAAACGTGGTATGGCTTAAACGATAAGCCTTAATAGCTGGTTCTGAACCGAACGACGCATGCACCACTAACCTTTTCCCATAAAAGGGTCGATTACCACATCACAAAAAGAGCTCAAAAGAAAGACAGTCATCACTTTTCTACCAATATGTATAGCATGAACCACACGTCATGCTATCTTCTCTTTTTTTTTTTTTTTTTTTGATGATGAATGAATGAACATTGGAATAGTGGTTTCTTGAAGGCATCGCGTGCGTTGTGATCAATTATGTTTGATTGCAAGGAACTTTATATGATTTTGTTTAAATGTGGAGAGCACTTTGGCATTCCCACTACTTTAGTGCCTAATGAATATGATGAACAACTAATATGCACGTGTACGAACATGTTCTTCCACTCAATAAACTTAGAAAAAGATGTTAAATATATACACAAAGTCTTTATTGTTAAGATATCTTTTAGACGGTGACTAAAAATAAAAGTACGAGAATGTAAATTCAAAATAAATAATATTTTATCAATGTAGAAATAAGTGTATATGAAAATTCTTTGGTTGTATAACATGTATTTTTAGTAATATTTTCATTTATTTTCAACTTATACTTTTATTTAACAATTATCATCATAACAATGTATTTTGACCTTGGATTGAGATAAATTATGTTATGAGGATAATATTCATCTTATATATACTTATAGTCTCGATTATTGTTTTCAATTATACATACTTCACACCATACCATAACAAAAAGAAAAGAATAATTTTTTTATTATTGAAGATCTCACATCGATTAGAAATAAGGTCATAAATGTCAGGGTTATGTTTTTAACTTTTTTGAGAGGATATATTTATGAGTTAATCATCCATACACTACTAATGTAAAATTTTTTACACTGGCAACCAATCATATCTTTTAAATTATTTTATTTTACTATTATTTCATTAAATAAGCAACTGACATGACACTATTAAAAGATATGATTGGTTACCGGTGTAAAAAAACTTTACACTGACAGTGTATAGGTGATTAACTCTATATTTATATCAAGAGGATAACTATAACTTTGTTATTTTATAAGGTTATTTCATACATAACTCTATAATGATTAGATATTGTTTACTTTGAATTTAAGTCCTCATGATTTTTCTTTTATTATCACTCAAAAGGCCTCTCAATATCATTGAAGTATATGTGTGTTTTATAAACTTTTATTTCTCTTCTTATTTTAACAATGTAGGACATTGTTTGTATCTGAACAATAATAATGTATATAAGTGAGAGATTTTCTCACTTTACAAGTCGATTTTGTAAGATGAAATTAACTTCTTAACTTATTTTCTTAAGATGGTATGTTGGAAATCTCACATCGTCTAAGAATAAGGCCATACAAACTTTATGTATGAGATTTTCAATCCTCGACATGAAAGGAGTGTGTTAAAAATCCTACATAAACTAATAATAAGGTCATAATAATATATATAAGTAAGGAACAATTTTCACTTTATAAATCGATTTTATAAGATAAAGTTAGCCTCTTAATCTACTTTCTTAAGAGTTTTAATAATATTGTTTTGCATATCCATTTATATAATCTTAACATTAATAAATATGGAGAGAGGTAGTACAAGAATCTTTCACTTCTAATAGCAAGACATTTTTTTTCGAGGCAATAACACATTGGCCTACCAGACAAGACAATACATAACGATCCATTAAAACATCACATGCATGACATGAGTGCACGCTCCTTCAACCTTACAATGAGCAAATTTCAACACTTCAAACAAGAGTTGGCATTTTCTCATAAATAAAACTAAGTTTAAATTTAGCAAATAAATATAACGGTGCTTATCTCTAAACCATGCTAACAATATTTATTAGGAGATTTTGGTGACGTTGAATTTTCCGACGAGATTTAGGTTGCCCTTTTCATGCAGGAAAGGTTATGTAAATGATAAGCAAAGCAAGAAACATCAGAACAGAAAAACGAATATACAGGACGTATGAGTTTGGGAAATGTTATTCTAAATTTAATAATATCTTTATCTTACACGTAACTTTCTGATCAAGATCGAGGATAAGTCAGATACTCAGATTAGCAATGCGTACCATTGTTGAATAACACTGTTTTTATAACAAAAATAAACACGATATTTATTGGGAAAAACCCAAGTCCCACATCGACTAGAGATTAGGCAATTAAATAGTATATAAGTGGAAAGCAACCCTTACCTTACAAGCCGGTTTTGTAGGGTTGAGTTAGGCTTAATCCACTATTCTAACATGGTATCAGAGCCAATTAGATCTACTTTAAAAATGGGCCACCCACCATTGATGCATGCCTCACAAGCATGAGGGGGTGTATTGGGAAAAACCCAAGTCCCGCCAATCCTAGATCATTAAGAAGGGCCACCCACCATTTATTCACGTACCAAGCTTAATAGTGTTGGACGTGAAGGGGTGTATTGGGAAAAACCCAAGTCCCACATCGACTAGAGATTAGGCAATTAAATAGTATATAAGTGGAAAGCAACCCTTACCTTACAAGCCGGTTTTGTAGGGTTGAGTTAGGCTTAATCCACTATTCTAACATGGTATCAGAGCCAATTAGATCTACTTTAAAAATGGGCCACCCACCATTGATGCATGCCTCACAAGCATGAGGGGGTGTATTGGGAAAAACCCAAGTCCCGCCAATCCTAGATCATTAAGAAGGGCCACCCACCATTTATTCACGTACCAAGCTTAATAGTGTTGGACGTGAAGGGGTGTATTGGGAAAAACCCAAGTCCCACATCGACTAGAGATTAGGCAATTAAATAGTATATAAGTGGAAAGCAACCCTTACCTTACAAGCCGGTTTTGTAGGGTTGAGTTAGGCTTAATCCACTATTCTAACAATATTAGTTCGTTATAAGATTAACATAACAATATTATATAAGATTTCAAACGTGGAAATAATATAATCATGACTTTGTTTGATATTCGTTAAGGCTCTAAATTGTTGTTTACTCTACAGTTCTCTACTATAGCCTCTCTCCATTTGGGTGGATTGCATTGTGCCAAATCAAAGCAAACATGTGGACAAATCAAAACATCTAAAAGGTGTTTTTCAAACAAAAAAAGTGAATATAGGGGAGTTTATCAATACTAGAAGCATCTGACGTGGCATGTATAGGGGTGGGGTAGTATAAGCACATTGTCTCACCATGACCACTCACCACTCAATTGTTGCAAATGGATTAGTGTAATATAAGACGAGAAAAATAACAACCAATTCTTTTTGTTGACCAAATTTAGTAAAAATTATAACATTATACAAGTCTTAATTTTTATTATGTTTCACTCATAATTTTATAATTTTTAATATATTTTAACCAATAATAAATAACATAATAACAATAATATGTTAAAATAATATGTTACTAACACTTTTTGGTATAAGAATATTATTTTTCGGTCTCTTTTGCATTTGGTCCATTAGTTTACACTGAGAATCTCTTTACTCTTATGCCTGACCCAAGCCAATATCTGGCCCCTAAAGTGCAGATATGCACGTGATCAAGCTAGGTCCCCAAAGGTTGTAAAGGCCTACTCAATTTGTTAGTACTTCGAAGTTTAATGTAAATACTGGTCCAAAACAAGGGCAAATACAAGATTTACACTGAAAGACACTTCAACACTTGAGTCTCGATGGATGAACTTGTAGAATATCAATATATGGAAAGGGTGTAGATATTCATATTTAGTGCCTCAAAGTGGTTCTATCATAGGACTTGGTTATTGCGGTTGAGTCACTGGAGTTGAGGTTGAGACTCAACTAGCTGGTTTGTTCAATGTTGATGCTGACCCTTTTGGTGTTTGTTGACAACTGGATGCCTAGTGAGTTGAACCCTTGTCCGACGCAGAACAACACATACTCTAACAAAAGATTTAAGACCTATTTGAATAAACTTCTCAAGAAATACTTAAAGGAGAGAAAAATGAAATAAATTTATCCATCTTTAGAAACAAATTTAGGTTAAAAAAATAAAATAATTTTTTTCATAAGCTAAAACTAACTTCAACTTTTTAAATTAGTTTATGTATAAAGTAATTTTTGTTTATCGAAAAACTTATTTTATTTTTCTTATTTTTTTCTCCTCCTAAAAGTATAAGTATTTCTTGAAAAGTTTATCTAAACAAGCCTAGGTCACAATAAACTAACACAAGTTGAAGAATGCAGTGATACAAGAAGAATGCAATGGTCCAGGAAGAGCTTCTATGGATAAAGTTTGTACTGGTTTAGATAGCATAGCCGAAGCATACAACCAAATCCCTGGACCTGGAGACTTCCTTTGTACTACTATTTCATTGCCTGCTTTCACAATGGAGTAATCTATAAGCCAAAATGACAAAAAGTAGCAGACAAAAGTTGATATTTCATAATGGTTAGCCGCCGGCCAACAGGTCCATTTACCACAAGCATCCAACTATGGGGAGTTGGCAATGATGGTCCAATCTAATTGCTTCTTTCTAGATACCTGGATGGTGGGTCTGTTTCTCAATGAGCATATTAAACAGTGGCCACCAATTACCACTCAAAATGCCAAAACCATCTTATGATGGGGCCAAGATAATTACTAAAAACCAAATTGTATGAGCCAAGGAAACTTTCTCAATTTTATTGAAGTACCCTTATCTTAAATGCTTATCTAACATTGTCCTGTGAACAGGTAGTCATAAATATTTTTATTTTTATAATAACGAATCAGAGTATACACTTGAATATGAATCCCAAATTGGGGTTGGCTACAACAGTGGAAGACTATATAATAAATAAAAGAAAAAAGGATACTGCTTTCATTTTTTTAAATTAAGCTAGACATACTAAGAATTGGCAAACTAATAGAGACCAAAAAATAATTTAATTATCAGCCTGTTATCATCTCCATCTAGTGGGCTGATGATGATTTCTACTACTAGCATCTTCACTTTGATCAATGACACCTCCATCCGTTCTCTTATCTAACTTGGAGTCCTTATGCTCAAGTTGATAATCTCGATGAGAACGGGAAGACTCTCCCTCAGTTCTGTGTTCCTACAGATAGGAAATTAAAAGAGGTTTAACTGAGTATCAGATTACAGCAATGTTGAATGATATTGGTTGCTTTTAGTTGAATCAAGTATGATGTAAAGTTTATGAAGGTAAAAAGAATATACATTGTGGAATAGCAGGTCGTCTGCCTCAAGCATGTGGATCACATGTCCCATTTTTGGCCTCTTTGTTGCATCGGGATCGACACACCTTAGAGCGATCAACAGTGCACGTTTTAGAGCCTTTGAAGATGGCATCTCAGGAAGCTTAGGATCAACTACTTCCTCGGATTTTCGATTCCCAACCATAGTCTTCAACCAATCTATTAAATTGACCTGTAATTGTTCCAACAAGCATAGTTAGCCCAAAAAAGATAAGGAACTATCTGTTAACTGTTGTCTCTTATTGGTGATGGCCTCTAACCTCTCCTTGTGGTCTACTATAATCAACAGGACTTCTTCCGGTAATTATCTCCATAATAAGTATCCCAAAGCTATAGATATCACTCTTCTCAGTAAGCATTCCAGTGCAGGCATATTCTGGTGCAACATAACTGCAGAAAGAAAAGTGAGAGAATCACTATCTTTTGACCTTCGAAAATTTGTGACTAATAACACATTGCAATTGTACAGGAACTGAAACTAACTATAATTTGGTCAGAAAGATAGGAAAATGCTTGGTTTAGTCATACTAACCCAAATGTCCCCATCACTCGAGTTGTGACATAACTATTCTCAGAACACAAAAGCTTAGCAAGCCCAAAATCAGAAACCTTGGAGTTCCATTGGCGATCAAGGAGAATGTTGCTTGATTTAACATCTCGGTGGACAACTTTCGGTTCAAGACCCTCATGAAGATAGGCCAATCTGAAAAGATAAACAAAATGCACAGTGATCAAAACATTCTTACATCATCATGGATGCCAACGTACGCAGATTAATAACAAAATATGGTACCCTCTTGCAGTTCCCAATATAACATTCATGCGTATATTCCATGTCAAAGGGCTTACAGCTCCAACATCCCCATGCAGCCATTGTTCTAGATTGCCATTGTCTACGTATTCATACACAAGCATTCTGTGAAAGAAAATCATACTTCAAATCAACATTTCAACAAACCAAACAAAATTGGTAGCATCAATTATTTTATTTTTAACTTTTAAGAGAAGTTATCAACACCTGTAGGCTCCCTCAACACAGTAACCAAGCAACCTAACCAGATTTTTGTGTCGCACTCGACCAATTGCTTCAACCTCTACCTTAAATTCTTTCTCAGCTTGGCCCCTGAAAAGAAGTTAAACATGAAGTACTTATTTCTAAGAGAAAGAGACAGGAAAATCAAAAGATATAAATAAGAGTGAAAAATTTCAGATAAATGAAATATTATCAATTCAGTAGTAGAAGAACAAGGAGATTAAAAGAAAAATGATTCTTTTCTTCACACGAGTGACTCACTTAAAGGACAACCTCCAACAATACCAGATATGGATGACACAAAAAAAAAGCTAAAAAGTAGAAACACTAGTTAAAGTAAAAGAAGCAAACGCTGGCCTACAACCAAAAGCTTACATCACAGCCCAGGATAAATATGGTTGGTTGCCACCAGGACAATCATTGAAGAGAATAACGAACAACATGTCTAAATCATTTCAATTATAATAGAGGCAATTGAATATTTATAAATAGTATTTCCAGCGAAAATTATATTAAACTTGTTTGCAACCAAATAGGACAAGACAAGAAACAAATCATTTGCTTTTGTCCTTCCCCAGATTCACAATATCAACGGGCAATACAAGGTTAAAAAACCATAAACGAAAATTTCATCATCTGTGAGCCAAATTAAGAAAAGCCGGTCTATACAAGGTTGAAATTACATGTCACCTGAACGAAAATAACATTTGAACACACATGACACAACATCAAGAGCAGAGAAGGATACAAACTCCCCAGGAAATTCATTTTTCTTGAGATTTCTAAAGACCATTCCAAAATCCAAACAAAGCATCAAACTTGCAACAAAGACTAAATAAGATGGAATGCAAGCAGAGCTCACTTGTCAGAATAACTAATACATACAGTCATACACTTGCAGAGTAAAAGCCTTTTACACTGTCATCCAATCATACAATATCATGTACAATAACTACCTTACAAGTTATGCAATGATGGTTGCTAATTAATTCACAGTGTCACATAATCACAACCTAACATTCAACATGTATGATAAGTCTGTTAATTTTTCCAATAAGTACCTTATATGACATACTTATCATGATTTTTAATTAGTTGAAAGTAAAAAGATTTTCATAGAAATGAAACCAAGTAAAAGACATACTTGTTATTCAAGAGGTTCTTGACAGCAATTTTGGTACCATCAGTGAGGACCCCATGATACACAATGCCATAGCCACCTTCACCAACAACATTTTCAGGACACAACCCTCCAGTGGCATCCTCAAGCTCCCTCAGAGTGTACCACCTCCCCCACCCAAGATGCGAAACCTCGGGCCCAGACCCAGGCCCAAGCCCAAGCCCAAGCCCACCAACACTCCCACTTCCAAACGACGACGTCGTTTCATACCCACTCCCCACCGTTCCCTTGCTCTCTTCACTCGAAACCCTATCACACTGCACCACCACCCGGTGCTCCGCCTTCCCCATCTCCACGTGGATCTCCGGCACCTTCGCCGGCGCCGGCGGTCGGAGCATGTGCGCGCCAGGAAGGTGCACGATCGTGTGGATTTCCTTCGACGCGTCGAGGGCTCCGGCGACCTTGTACCCGCCGGAGCTCCGGCGGCGGCGGCTCCGGCGGGAGACGAGGCAGAGCGAGATGAGGAAGAGAGTGAAGACGATGAAAACGCCGATGAGAATTCCGATCACGACCCAGAGACGGAGACCGAAGATCCAAGTGCGTTTGGAGAGTTGCGTGTTCATGAAAGCCCCGTCGAAGATTGACATTGTTGCGGAGCGTAGAGGTTAACGGGTCGCCGGAAAAGTAAGAAAGGAGTGAACTTTCCGGCACAAGGCAAGGTTCTAGAAAGTGGGTCGCATTTGTTTCGCCGGGAAAGTAAGAAAAGATTGGATCTTTCCGGCGGCGGGAATGCAGTGAAGAGAGAAAAGATGAAAGTTTTGAAAGAAACTGAAGAATAAAGAGCAAAGAAAATGTGGGGTTGTAAGAGAGAATGGGATCAATAGAGAAAGTGTTCGAGAAAGAGAGAGAAAGAAAAGAAAAGTTTGAGTGGTGAAGCCAGCAAAGAGTGTTGAGGAAAGTTTTCTTGTGGGTTCTGTATGTCGTTTTTTTTGTTTTGTTTCTGATACAATAATACTTTATAACAGATAAGAGGAACGTTATATTCTCTTTCTATTTCTTTTAAATAACTTTTAATAGTGTCCAAATATTTAAATAAGAGAAGTGCTGTAGTATTTAATATTTTGTCTATTTAATAATTAATCAACTTGACAAAGAAAATATTATAGTAACATTTGGAATTACATTCTTGTTATTGAATACTATAGGTACATTACTTAGAGAACTGTTTTGTTTGACCTATTTGTATATAGGTTAAGTACATTTATCAAGGATGATAAAGTTTTTAAAATTAGTTTGGTGGAAGTTGAAATACTATACATAATGTTTTATATTCATATTTTAATATTCTCATTATAATAAAAATTTTACTTATTTATATTTTAAGTTATTAACTAACTTGTATATATGACTACTCGAGTTAGTCTAGTGATTGGGTAAGAAGGGGTTAAAGTAATTAGAACTAGAAGTATAAAGACCTAAGTTCAATTCTCATTGCGACCATTTTTATAATATTTTCTATCTTTATCAAAAAAAAAAATTGTATGTACAAATAAATTTCATTATAAATATTTATAGAAGAAAATAAATAAAGCATTAAAAAAATTGAGTTTTTAAAATTAAAACTAATTTATAGCTTAATATTATTAAAAAAAACTCTTTTGTCTAACTTTCTAAAAATTAAGACGCACATGATGATTTTTTAACTTGAAAAAAAAGATTCTTAATTTCATTTTCATAATTTTTTTATAAATACAATTTGATAAGTTTTCTTTAAAAGGGACCAATATAATAAATGTACCAACGTTTTAAAGATTTTTTTTTATAACCTCAACTATTTACGAATCAAATTATTAATTTTTATAATAACTGTATTATTAATTATATGAAAGACGAGTTTTTATTAATTGATGCCTTGACAGCGTACATTTTCATATTGATGATGCATATTAAAACTATTAGCTAAAATAAGCTAGTTTTGTACTAGTTGATTTACCCACTTGGAGATATTAATTATTGAATATTTAATATATTTCATTTTTTTTTTCATAAAAAACTTTAATTGTAAGAATAATAATAAATATTGTTATATTTTGTTTTCTTTTATTTTGTTAACTATTTTAATTTATGCAATGCATAAATTAATTATTTATTATATAATTAAAATTTATAATAGTGTAAAAATTACATAGTGTTAGAACAAATATTTGCTTTAGTTAGATTATAATCATGTTAATATTAACACTATCTATGAATATTTTTGTGCAACAATCTTCTTTTTTCTCTAATAAATTGAAAGTCGGTAAGTAGAGAATTGTATCACATGCCTTGGTATGGAGTATTTGAAAAGTGAAAAATGTCTGTATATTTAATGGTTGAACACTTAAGAAAGTAAAACTTTTAGAAAATTTTCTTTTTAATGCGTAATCTTGATTGTATGAATTATTTAACAATTTTTTGTACTCTTTCGAGGATGATACAAGTCTATGAACTTATATTAGTACGCGAATTTGATTGCCTATTGGAACACTGTTTTTTTTTTAATTTTTTATAAAAGTGATTTATAATAATTACAGATGATGATCATAATAAAATGATTCATGGACGATGAAAATATAGGTGGCACATGAAATTGATAGAGAAATAGGAATAGTTAATATGATTTTTTTTCCTTGGTGTGTACATGTATACAAGTGATTACTAGCTATTAAATGAATATAACATTTAATATGAACTAACCACATGGAAACATGATTATATTTTAGACTTATCCTTTTTTGTATTTGTTTAGGTATCATTGGTGCCTTCATTAATGAAAGTTATTTTTTTTTTGCTAATAAAGAAAACTAATTACATATACAAATAAATATCATGTTTAAATATATAATTATATTTAAAATTTATATAAATAAATATTTTAAAACATGTAAATTATATTTTAAATTCATGATAAATAATTTATATTGCAATACAAAATTATTTTTGTTTATTGATAATTTATTTTAAAATGTCAAAATTGAATTTATAAATAATTATGATAAATAAAAATAAAAGTTATATCACTTCTTTGGCATCATTCATATATAGAAATGGATATTATTTTTTTTATAACACTTGTTTGGCATCATCCATATAATCAATCATTCATCGTGTAAACATGTTGCCAAGGGGAAGAAGGCTCCTACAAAATGACAAAGTGAGAAAAAAATTATAAAAAAAAAAAAAGAAAAAAAAAAAAACGTACCTGAAAATGAAAGAAACAGTAAACAGAAGATTAACGTTCGAATTGTTGAATTCCGGCTCCGGCACTGTGCCGCATGGCTCAATGATGTATCGAAATCAACGTAATTGTATTGACTTGTTATTATTTGAAAAAATTAAATTGAAAAATACACTTATTTTAGCCTTTTCTTTTTTCTTTTTTATTTTGTAAGTAAGAATTAAAATCACGATAAAAAAAATGTAAAACTTAAAAATTTTGTATATTCTATTTCAACAGTGGTATTGTGAATTTTTCACTAAAATAGAAATTTTTAAAAAAATTTACCAAAAAAACGCTTGTACCAATTTATTTACCCAAGTAGCACATTTCACTGTTCACGTTCGGAGAACCGAATTCTGAGCTGTTAAATTTTTTTTTTTTTTGAGTTTTGGATCTGAGCATGGTGTAAAACTGGATCCCGAACGGCTCGTTCTTCTTTTAGAACGGGTTGTTCTCCTTGCAGAACGACCCGTTCTCTTTTTAGAACGGGTCGTTCCGGATGCAAAAATACACACATGACGAATGGATCAAAACGGACCGTTCTGCTTGGATGTTCCAGTTTCAAAATTAACAGACTACGCGTGCAAGCAAAATGGCCCGTTATGCTTGGAGAACGGGCCGTTCCAGTTGCAACATTAACACACAACCTGAACTGTAAACAGAAAAGAAAAAAAAAATTAAACACTACTCAGAATTCGGTTCTCCGGTAACCAAATTCTGAGAGAAAAAAAATTGAAGTTCAAAATTCAGTTCCCGGAAAATCGAATTCTGAATATAAACAGTAAAAAGTGCTACTTCGGTAAATAAATTGAAACAGGTGCTGTTTTGGTAAAAAAAATTATTTCAGTAAAAAATTCTTGTATTGTATGCAACTATGCATCATTTCATTAGTAGTTTACAACATACCTGTTTTCGTTTTTTATATCGTTAATGCAAATGTCTGTCACAAGAAAAAAAATGGACATTTATAATTCATTGACCAAAAACAGAAAGAAAGAAAATTGGACATCTTAGCGGGGTAGGTTGATAGGATAGGACATTGTACCATAATTAACTGGTGCATATTTCAGCTATCTTATGTAACACAAAAATCTTGTAATGATCCTTTGTTTGAAATGACGCTTTACCTATCATAAGACCATGTCCAAATGTGTGAGTGAGATTTATTCATGATATTTGTTTCTTGAAATGCCTCATAAATAAAGTGATATAACTATCAAATGTCGATTTAATTAGTTTTCATCTTTTTAATATGTAGCAATTAAATTCGATATTAAAGAGTTTATAATAACTCTTACACACATGTAAATAAGTTAAATTAGAGCCTCTTGATTGGAGGCTTGTTTATATATTTATATTAAATAATTAGAATGAGAATTGTGTCACTTATATATTCAACTTGAACAAAATTGTATTTAGAAAAAAAATATTTGGCCTTTACAAAATAAATAAATAAAGAACTACAAACAAAACCTAGATGTGATAAAAATAAAATTGTTTTGTTGACTTGAAATATTTGATATTTATATTATTTTTATAGAAAATAAGATATGTGTTGGTACCGGAAAATGAATTCGGAGGTACTCGAAATACAGAGGTGCTCAAAAATCCTAGGTGATCGGAAAATAGCAAAGAAGTTTCTGAAGAAGGCATACGAAGCCTGAATAGAATCAAGAGATATACAAAGACACTTTTCGTGAAACTATCGAAATCATTGAACTAGGAAGGACACGAAGACACTTTTCGTGAAACTCTCGAAATCATTGAACTAGGAAGGACGCTGCTCAGGAGAAAGGCTCACAGCCTTGCAACCTCTCAAAGTACAAGAAAAATCAGGAAACACTCGAGTAGTATATTTTTCGTTGGTTACTCGAAATCCCAAGAATCCGGACATACACGAACACACTTCGCAACCTCTCGGAATGAAGAACTTAAAGGAGACACGATTTAAGAGCGGTTGAAGTAAATCATGGGATAAGTGTCAAAGGCTGCAGAAGATCAATCACGAGTTCTTCAAATTGTTTTATACTCGCCCCGTCGGCATTCATCCGATCAATCACGAGTTCTATACTCGCCCAGTCGGAATCCAACCGATCAATCACGAGTTCTTCAAATTGTTTTATACTCGCCCCGTCGGCATTCATCCGATCAATCACGAGTTCTATACTCGCCCAGTCGGAATCCAACCGATCAATCACGAGTTCTTCAAATTGTTTTATACTCGCCCCGTCGGCATTCATCCGATCAATCACGAGTTCTATACTCGCCCAGTCGGAATCCAACCGATCAATCACGAGTTCTTCAAATTGTTTTATACTCGCCCCGTCGGCATTCATCCGATCAATCACGAGTTCTATACTCGCCCAGTCGGAATCCAACCGATCAATCACGAGTTCTTCAAATTGTTTTATACTCGCCCCGTCGGCATTCATCCGATCAATCACGAGTTCTATACTCGCCCAGTCGGAATCCAACCGATCAATCACGAGTTCTTCAAATTGTTTTATACTCGCCCCGTCGGCATTCATCCGATCAATCACGAGTTCTATACTCGCCCAGTCGGAATCCAACCGATCAATCACGAGTTCTTCAAATTGTTTTATACTCGCCCCGTCGGCATTCATCCGATCAATCACGAGTTCTATACTCGCCCAGTCGGAATCCAACCGATCAATCACGAGTTCTTCAAATTGTTTTATACTCGCCCCGTCGGCATTCATCCGATCAATCACGAGTTCTA